TTTTCATGACGTCGACGAAACATTGCAGAACGAGGAATTAATTTAAACTATAAAACTATTAGATTTGTTATAAATAAGAAACATATATAAACCGGAGAATATTGGAAACTTTGACGAAAAAATAACAAAGTATAATTTAAATACTTAAGCGCATTTATGGACATTTTCTTTAGCAGGAAATTTTACAATCTATTACAGATAATTCCTTAACTGCACTTACGTATTTAAAAAAAAAAATGTTTTAATGTCTTTTTAATGAATATTTAGTTTACTATTTGTTTTATTAACTTTTTTTCTAAAAATATACCAGTTAATTTTTGTATTTCGTGCAATCTAAAATATAATATGGAATAAATAATTTGATTATAAAGAAATGTACTTCAATTTTAACATATTTTTTTTTTAATTTTGATATCGTGAATTAGGTATACCGAAGGTAGTAATAATAGTTAGTACATCTGAAAAAACTGTTTTCGGATGTACTAATATTCTGTACAATGGTAAAAGAAAACTTTTTTCTCTCACACAGTATAATAAGTAAATAGGTCTTTCCTCTCAAAAAAGATAATATTAACGCGAAAGGATTCGACTCTACATAGAAAACATGAAACAATTAAAACAACAATTTCGCCAATTTAGATGTCCCGACTTGGATTTCAAAACAATTTCAAAGTCGATATTGATTTCTCGTTGCAAAAAGAATTGACTGAATTCAAAGAGAATTTGAAATTTAAAATTGATTCTCAAACAAGTGTATTTGACAAATTTTTGAATTACAAAGATATTCGTAGAAAAGAACTACAACAGATTAACAAATATTGTCCGAACTATTATTTTTTTAGATTATCCGAACTACGAAAAACGCGGTCATTTAAGATTATTGTTAATTAACATCATTTACATTTTTAAATTCCGAATTGAAAAATAAAATTTCACAAAATTATTTAATAACTGAATTTACGCATTTTTACGATTACGAAGAAGCAGATTCATTCACTGCAGAAAAATGGAAAGTGACATTATAGACGTTGAAACAAACATTCAACGAACCATCAAATTTCAACAATACTTAACTAATTAACTGTTGCAGCGAATATCAGCAAATTAATGAAAACTTAGTAAAAAAAAATATTGATTGAAAATCAGCAGAAAAAAATTACATTAATAATGAACTGAACCTAAATATCTCAAGCAATAAAGTTGATGATTTTGTGGCAATTAAAAAGAAATGTTTGTTTGCTTTAAACTACACTACTGAAATTATCATTATTTAAGAATTGATTAAATTTTCATTACAATTCTAACATGAATTAAGAATTTAATTAATTCTTTTATTTTTAAATTATGATTAAAACACTTAAATTGGTTAATATGAACTTCATAACGAATTCAGAAATTTATGATTTTCATCCAGAATCATATTTTTTTTCACCGTATTTTTAAAATTGGGAATAGGCTAATATTAGATGATTTAAGGGAAAGGAAGTTTATATACTAGAACATATCAATGGAATAAGTTAATCTTTATTTATATTACATAATCAGAAAATCTTAAAAAATAAAATAGAAATACATATTTCGTATATTAAATTTACAAATAAAATAATTGTACAGATATAATGCATGTGAAATAAAAATATTAAAAATTAAAGAAATTTACGAAGATCTTTTTCCAGTTGTCAACCATACGTGCTTAATCAATTCATCAACAGTAGGTCTCAATTTTGGGTCTAAAACCAACATTGATTTTATAAACTTAATGCAACCAACTGTGATGGAACCACATAGTTTTTCATCGAATTTCACGATTCCTCTGGTGATGTTTCTGATCGTTTCTTCCTGTGATTGGACGCCAAACGGTGTATATCCACTAACCAGACTGTAAGTTAACACGCCGATCGACCAAACATCTACTTTCAGCGTGATCTGATCTCGTTTCAATAATTCAGGCGCCAAATAATCCAAAGTTCCTTGTAATGCTCTGACCACTCTACCTGGTTCCAAAAACTTGGAAATTCCGAAATCGCAAAGTTTGATATTCTCTAAACAGTTAGGTTTCGAAAGCAAAACATTCTGTATTTTAATGTCCATGTGGACTATGTTTTGATGATGTAAAATTCGAACGCTTTCTAATAATTGTGCAATCACAGTCTTGGTCTCAACTTCCGATAGGCATTCTCTCTTCTCGAAAATACTTTGAAGATCACCTCCTACCATGTACTCCATGACTATTGTCACATGGCTAGCGGTCTCGAAGACCTCGTGCAAACGAACAATGCTTTTCGACTTGCACTTTTGTAATACGGCTATTTCATGGTGGATCGAAGGTGTCCAGTTATCTGTCAATGTTTGCTTCTTTATGGATTTTGCAGCGTACAAGATTCCCGTTTTCTTGTGGATCAATTTTCTCACTATACCATATTTACCTTTAAACACAATCGAAACTACCTTGTAGGATTCATCCACCGGATTCTTAAGGAACACCTTCTTCTCGCACTCGTCCAAAGTAAACAAACCCTTGTTGCACTGCATATTATTGCTGTTTTAAATGCTAAACTCTACTAGAAAGTTCAATAACAAATATGTAACTTCAGATGTTCGCTGCTTCAACTTCTGAAGTAAACTGATTGCAGAATGATTGCTGCGCTTGCTTATATTCAGCTAATACAAGTTTATAGTTACTTACTGAAGATCAAATATGAAACTGCAAATTTAGATGTTCACTGCTTCAACGTCTGAAGTAAACTGATTGCAGAATGGTTGTAACGCTTCCTTATATTCAGATAACAAATTTTCAGGTTTTAAGTTTGTTTTGTGATGACAAACTATGTAACTTTAGTATGAGATGTAAACTGCTTCAATGTCTGAAGTGAAGTGAGTTGTGAAGATCCATGTACATGCTTTTATTCAGATTTTGCAGGTAATTTTTGGAATTTCACTTGGGGGTGGGGGTCGGGGGGTTGGACCGTCCTCTTCTACCTAAATGTATAATCACATCTATTTCCTATAACTGGCCGAATAATTGTAGTTTTAATTTTATTTCTTCTAATTAATATTTGATTTCACGTATTATCACGTTTCCACAACAATAAGAATAAACTAATAATTGCAAAATATTTAAAAACAACAATGTTTCTGACATATAATTTGTACCTGAAAAACTAAAAAAGAAAAACGAAAAAAACAATATTTGATTCTGAATTTGGGAAATAACATGAATTTTGTTGATACAGTTTCTAGTTTTGATACATATTATTAATATATAAAAGAACAACCTTTAATTGGACAATAATCTAATCTTTTAATTATTTATTCAGCTTGATTCTGAAAACTAACGGATAGTATATTCTGTATAATATATAAAACTTTCACGTTTTTCAGGTATAAATTATTTCTCAGAAAGAGAGAGAAAAACTACATTTATCAAATATTTTGCAAATATTAGTTTATTCTTTTTATTGTAGATTAAAACTATAATTATTCGGACAGTTTTAGAAAATAGGTGTAATTATCCATTTAGTTAGAAGAGGAAGGTCCAATCCCCACCCCTCACTGAAACCATTTTATTACTAAGGGTAAGTGAAATTACCTGCAAAATCTGAATAAAAGCATGTACATGGATCTTCGCAACTCAGTTCACTTCAGACATTGAAGCAGTTTACATCTCATACTAAAGTTACATAGTTTGTCATCACAAAACAAACTTAAAACCTGAAAATTACTTGTGTTGTCTGAATATAAGCAAGCGCTACAATCATTCTGCAATCAGTTTACTTCAGGCGTTGAAACAGCGAACATCTCAATTTGAAGTTTCATATTTGATCTTCAGTAGGTATTATCTGAATATAAACAGTTGAAGCAGCGAACATCTGAAGTTACATATTTGATATTGAACTTTCTAGTAGAGTTTAGCATTTAAAACAGAGCAATAATATGCAGAGAAGCAAGGGTTTGTTTACTTTGGACGAGTCCGAGAAGAAGATGTTCCTTAAGAATCCGGTGGATGAATCCTACAAGGTAGTTTCGATTGTGGGTAGAGGTAAATTTGGTGTAGTGAGAAAATTGATTCACAAGAAAACGGGAATCTTGTACGCTGCAAAATCCATAAAGAAGCAAACATTGACAGATAACTGGATACCTTCGATCCACCACGAAATAGCCGTTCTACAAAAGTGCAAGTCGAAGAGCATTGTTCGTTTGCACGAGGTCTTCGAGACCGCTAGCCATGTGACAATAGTCATGGAGTACATGGTAGGAGGTGA